ATGATTTGACAAAATGATGTGGCATTCAAGAGAACTATCAGAAGGGAAAAAAGTTAGAAAGCAAACAAATGCCCTATTAGCACATATTCAAGAATGGGTCTTACAGCAAAAGCTGCACCAATCGTGTACAGACACCTGCTTCGATCACGGCTTGAATTTTGTCATTTGGGCCATCAGAAAGGTATGAGAGAGCCCAGCAAGCATCTGTTAAAACTTCTTCATCATTCACATGAATAAGTTGCTGGAGAACTGGTAATGCAGGCTTCACCTGAGTTAAACAAAGCCAATCAACACTGCAGTAACTTATCAAAAGTCATCATGCAAAACAAGTGCTACACGAAGGCTTCTTACAAAGAGTCTGCCCCTACATAAGTATGCTTACCTGTTCAAAAGGCGTAGGTGGCTTGCCACGGCAAAAGTTAGATAAAGTCCATGTGGCATTCCTCAGCATGGACAATTTTGAGTGTTCATTTAACTGCGATAACAAAGGAACAAGTGCACCATGACCCAGAACGAGATCTCTACAACTTGGAGAATCACCAGCGACATTACCCAAAGCCCACACTGCCTGGTTCATCAAAACAAAACACACATCGTATGTGTCAGCAAACATACCTAGAAGGTTTGCAATAGCATGGGAAAGGCATAATGATATATAATTGTAATTGAGAGACATATGACAAGATGATATCATCATTGTTATTGGCAGAATCCTGACAACATGACAATTCAAGTAGGGTTAAAAAAAGAGTTTGAAGGGGTAAAAAGCAGAAACATTTACTATAACTCAAAAGTCATTAGACAAATTGGGAAGCTTTTCCAATGCCAAAAACCGAAAAAAAAAAATGACAATAGAATAAAGAAATAAGACGATGTACTTCATAGATGATCTATAATAAACAAAGCATATAACAGGAAGGGGTAGGAAGTGGTAAAGGCAAAAGGCACCTCAATTTCAATGGCATGGGTATACGCCATCTGGAAAATACTTCTAAGGCAGTTTTTTCACACCTTAAGGTGGCAATGTACTCCAAAGCATAACTCAATACACTACAGCGTGTCCCAATACCCTGTCTTACACCTTTTTTTCTTCTTTGTCAATTTTATGCTTTCCTGATTTCGTTTTTCTTATATGTCAACAGATTATTATTTGTTATGATTTTCCTGAACTTTTCTGAGATGGCTACTTTTAAGGTGTATAGCTAACTATCGTCCCTTCTGTATTTCTTAAGTGCTATGATAAAATTCGAAGGAACAAACTTCTAATGAAAACTGCTACAACATTAAGTAAGTAAAGAAGAGAAAGAAATAAAGTTAGCAAGAACAACCTGCTCTCTAACATCGTCGCTGGCAGAGCTAAGAAGTTGCACAAACATTGGGACAGCACCATTTTCAATGACAACTCTGGTATGCTCAGATGTGCCAGAAGCAACATTTGTCAATGCCCATGCAGCCTCGAACTGCAGATTGAAGAAAGTAAGTTATGTAGATACTTTGGCATGCACTACTTCAACAATACAATAAAATAGAGAAACAAGAGCAGCAAAGAGAGCCCCACTTGCAGCTGTGGTAGGTCATTCCTTTGTAGAAATTCTACGAACCTCGGGACAACACCAGCTTTGATCACCTCATCTATCGGTGGGCTGCGCTCTGCAGATAAAGGCAGCAACATAATCAACAGATGCCAGGACTAATTATAGTAATGGAAAGCCACCCCGGAGCAACCATCGCACCAATCGACAGCAACTTTCTGAACTGAGTGGTAGCTTCCAACTGAGAGGCAGGATCATCTGACCATACTCCTTGAACCAATGTCGGAAGACTTTCCAACTGCACGACATAAACAATAAAGAAGGAGATGGGAAGAATAAGTAGATAGTCTGCCATTTGTCAAAAATAGTAGCAGTATCCATCATAGTTAGCCCACACAACCATAATGAGAAGTATAGGACCTAACAGGGGGGCTAGATAAAATGTACACAAACATGTCAACTGGACCCAAAATAAAGAAGTTTTCATTAAAGAACAGAACAGCACACGTGCATTCAGATAATACGTTCATTAGGGGGATAATTGATCCAAGTTGAGTCAATGCAGCTAAATCAATGAGACTAGTCGACGTAATTCGATATCCTAAACTTGACTTGACTAGAAAGTCTAGACTCAATACTCAACTTTAGCTCAATCAAGCTTGAATTTTTCTAAGCCGGAGCTCAACTACATATCGCTCTCCATGTGCTTGAACCCGACTCCACATGCATGATTACCCAAAAAAAGCTTACAATATAAACTCGAGTTGATCTTGATTTCAATTTTTCAAGGTGCAATAAGAATTTGAATAACAACATGATTTATATATCCTTATGTTCACTATTGTCAAGTTTATAACTCAACCACTTGACAAAAATCACAAGCTGCTTGAGTCAAGTATTATGAAGGCCAAACTCGACTCAGTTGGGAACTCAAACTCAATAGGAACTAAGTCCAGTCAAGCTCGAGAACTTGCAAGTAGCTTAACTCGTTCACACTCCTAACAACTATGCTTGGATGGCAATTATAGCATTAGGAAGAGAATGAAGACCAAAAGTTCAGGTTCAGTTCTACTCCAAAAGAGATTTCGATATTTCCTTCAACTCAGCTTATGAGCATTCTTCAATGTCAAATGTTCTCGTGTTCCTTTCTAGGCCAATTCTATCTTTACTTCTCACTAAAAGCAAAAGACTTAAACTACTCTAATCATTTCCCAGATTGACAATTAGTTTCCCCAACACAAAACTAGATACGAAGTTATCGACAGAATTAAAGAGAATGGAGTAAAACAATGAAGTATAAGATGACTGGAGACTCGATCATACAGCATAATAATACAATGTACAAGAAGGTTTATTTAGGCTTGTAGTTGGCTTTATCTGACTATTTGGACAAAAAGATCACTTGATTTCTAGACTTGTAGTTGGCCTTATCTGACTCGATAAACATGAGAAATCTTACACTTTCGTCAGCTTAAGTTGAATAAAAGCCAAGGCAAAAAGATATTTCCCGAAGAACACATCCCAATAACGGGAATGGCCTTTCCAAAGCAAATGGGGCATCAGACAAACACAACTCATACCAACAAATAACAAATCCTCTACACTTTATTTACTTAAGACCTACAAAACTACTCGCGATTATGCCCGTGGTTATCAGGAAGCCCGAAAAAGGAAAAAAGCAGAGCAGAGTCGACTTTGTTGTGCTCTGGTGACCAGTCACTTTTACAATTTACCATAATCAAAGAAAGATTTACACTGGCTAAATTCCTCATCTTACGTTGCTTCGCATTTAGCTTCGCGAAATCGTAAATTCAAATCCCACGCAAGAATCGATGCGCACCGAGATGTTAGCTTTCATGATCTGATCACACATGCTAGCTCGTGCTCATAAAAAGGTCGATAACCCAAATGGTGAGGTCAGCTCGAGCCTCCAATGTGCAGTAGTCAAACAGTAACTTCGACAAGTTAAGATCCACAATTCTGCGAGTTTTCTCGATAGATCAAGCAACACGGCATCCAAACGACCCGGCCAACGAATCAAAACACGCACTTTAGACGCGACCGAAGGGGCGATCGACATTGGGTAAGAGAAAAGCACCCTCTTTTCGATGTTCTGCGATCCATCGCCGAATTGCTGGGGCGACTGCTGCTGAGCCTGGACCTGCAGGCCTTCCCGTCGCTTCTTCAAGAGATTGTCCTCCCGCTTGCTCTTCCTGATCTCCACCAGGTTGTCCTCCCTCCTCCGCCGCGCCTCCTCCGCATCGACGCCGGTCTTGTAGGCCTTCTTCCTCGCCTCGTTCCGCGTGCTGGGCCGCAGGGACATTGCCGGTTCTCCGCCGCTGGTCTCGGCCGGGGCCGCCTCGCCGCCGTCGAGGTGTTCGATGAAATGCGGGACAGAGTGGAGCGGGCAGGCAGTTTGTGGGGAGGAGTGAATAGGGGAAGGGAGGAAGTGGTGGCGATTTTTGATCTGCCGATGGATGATGATGCATTAGATACATTTGGGACACTGTGGATAGTGGGATCCATTTTACCATCAATGCATGATCCAATCTTAAATTCTTTCATTTAAACCATTTTTCGACCACGAAAAAAAAAGTATTTTCATCGCTCGGGAAAATATTAAGACATAAATTATTGTCAGTAATGAAAACATTTTTCGTTGATCAATTGTTTTAAGCATTACATGCGATCATTTTTAAAAAAAAAATTTCCAAATTAATAATTTTTCACGAAACAAACAGAACCTAAATTTGTATTTGATATTTCCTATGTCTACTTATCTACGTACATGTTAAGAAAATTCTAGCTGATAGCATATCGAATTGTACATATTATCGCTTGCAAATTTCATATTGCTCATAATTATAATATTATTTATACCCTAATAATAATTACACTCAATTCATCATTGACAAATAATGATGACATGCTCATTTTTATAATGTTCACATACGATCCATTATTTATAGATATGCCGACTTTTTGATATAGATTAAATATCGCAATCTATCTCCAAGATTGTGGTTGGAATTGTCACTGTGCCTCGTATGAACGATTCCATTCCGAAGCTCGTGGTAGAGCAAATTTTTTTGGTCAAATGCCAGAGCAAATTCCCCCTTGAAAAGAGTGGATGGAATATAGAAAAAGAGAAAAAAAAATAAAAAAAAAAAATCGATTTCATTTGTTTCGTAAAAAATAAATAATTCAAAAAACAGTTTTCTCGAAATAATCGCTTGTATCGTTTACGAAAATGAATAAAAGAAAATTATTTTCTGCTATTCATGAAAGTGGTTATATGTAAATTATTATCGATAATGAAAACATATTTATTTAGCTAATCATTTCAAGCGATACTAGCAATTGTTTTTGGAAAAATAAAATGAAACCTTGGTATAATGTTTTTTTTTTCTAGAAAAATTAAATATGAAATATTTCTCACCGTATGGGCTTAAACGCAAGTCAAGCAAAGGCCCATGTCCAACAGCTACTCAAACGAGTCGCGAACGCTTTTTCCGCTTCCTCGCTCCCTCCAGCGCCACCACGTCGCGGCCCGTCTTTCCGCCGCCGCCGCCGCCGCCGCTCGTTGCAGCGGAGGATCTCTCTCCCCGCCATGTCCGACCTCGCGCGAACCGAACCGTACGGCGTCCTCCTGTACTACAAGTACGCCTCCGTCCCCGACCTCGACGAGCTCGCCTCGTTCTACGAGCGGAACTGCAGCTCGCTCGGCCTGCTCGGCCGTGTCCGGCTCGCTCCTCACGGCGTCAACGTCACGGTAAACCTCACTTCTCCCCCGGCCCCCGCGCTTCCTCGTCGTTGTCTCCTTGTTCCCCCTTTTTGCTCCGGACAGATAGGGAAGGTCCTCTTATGTTGTGGATATTGACGAGGTTCGACATCACTCTGTCGTGGTGGGTTCTATGTTGCTGGTGTCATCGGTGGCTGTAGAGTTACATGAAGTAACTGTCATGTCATGTGATATTTCTAGCTAATTGATGAAGTTTGGATTCCAAGTTTAAATTTTTGTTTAGCTGGCTCCTGAGGTGTAGTGTAAGACTGGCATTTGTGCTGAGCCTAGAGTATGGACGTTAGCTTTAGCTGCAGAGGCAAATTAGTGGTCTGGATGGACCCTGGAGTGTGGAAATTCTTAAACAAGTGGCCAGTGGGGTGTGAAAGCTTGAGGTGATAGAAGAGATGTGATGTAGTGTTCAAATGTTTTAACAAGTGGTACTGGTCAGGTCGGAGGCAAGTTGTTGGCGCTGGAGGCGCACATCGATGCAGTCCAGTCGAATGCTTTGTTCGAAGGAACGGACTTTAAGCTTGCTTCTTGCGATCAGCCGTTGAATGACAAGGTCGCAAAGGAGTGCGGTTTCACCTCCCTCTCTATTCGCATTGTTGAGGTAAAATGAAGTAATGTAATCCCCACATCTCTTTTTGTTATTTTTAGACTATGGATTTCGTTAGTCTGTTACACTTCCTTGGTTTAGACTAAGAGACTCGTCTTCTGTTTTTGGCTGGGTAACTGCCCAAGAGGCGAATAAGTGCCTGTGCAATTGCATGATCTCATATGATGAATCTGTTTATGATAGCTTGGTATAGGATCTACTGACAACATGATGTACAGTAAGCGATAGTTCGTTTTATTGTGTGGCAAAGGAAGTTGGAGGGCTATGTAATTTGTTTCAAGGATTAAAAGTCATTCTTCTACCTAATAGATTTGTGCAAGCACATAGCTGAGATGATTGTTTTCGTTTAGTTATACCCACAAAACTCCTGTAATTCTGTAACTGTGAAAATGTGTGGACTCCAAAGTGTGAGCACTTGATGGTCTAATCTGCTTCTGCATTTCTGGTGGATGAAAGCCACAGTCCTATGTCAGGATTAGAATTTATATAGCTGACAGATAGCGCCGGCTAACTCTTGATGCTGCTTATGAGTGCTATGGTAATGGTGTGTTATCATTCTCATGTTAGGAATTGGTGACGTTCAGCTCTCACCCCCTTATAAGATCACCCGACATTTCCATTGCTGGAAGGCACCTATCTGCAGTAGAATTCCATTCTGTCCTGCAAAGTGCTGGTAACTTTTTGTGTATTGTTGCATGTCTCTTTTCCTTTGTCTGTATCTTGTGCTGCTTTTTTATGTTTATTCTATGTGATTGTGGAATTTGTTATTAACCTTTTGTGTATGGCATATCTTTTCCTTTCCATGGTTCTATTGTTCAAGTGTTCCATATTTCAGTTCCTGCTATCCTTGTTGTTGCCATAATCCTGAGCCTACTACTTTGGACAATCTGTGTGATGATGCACAAAATCTCTGGCCAGTTTATGGCGATGTTGTGTGCGTCTGACAACCCACAGATTTGCGCACCAAAAAGAGACGCAGTCCTGGGTTTTACTTATGAGGACCCTTTGATCTTAAGTCAGTCCTTGTGAGGAAGATTATGAAAGAGAGAGAAAATTGAAATGGTTAAAGAGGTTAAAATTGTTAAGCAATGACTTGATAAGAAGTTGTTACTTGGTATTGTGGTGTGAGTGGATGGACTGGCTCTCCTTGTGTGGGCTATCGAGTTTAGGTGTCGTACCTTGTGGGCCCTGCAAAGTTAAAATAATTATCAAATACAATAACTGATGAATTTGACCCCGAGTGAGATACGAGACCAGTCATTTTTTTATCCACGTTAGTGTGGCATTCATATCTGATGGCTATGCATCTCTTTTCCAGGTAAGCTTCTTGATGAAGGTAGTCCTACAAGCAATGAAAGGCCTGTCTTGTTGGATGCAAGGAATTTATACGAGACTAGGATTGGGAAGTTCCAGACACCAGGTGTGGAAACTTTGGATCCAGAAATCAGACAATACAGTGACCTGCATGACTGGATAGATAATAATTCAGAACGTTTGCGAGGAAAACACATTCTCATGTCAGTGCTCTCCTAGAACTTGGTGACTAGGTTTTTCCCGATATTTACTTCTTCCTTTTTTACCTAATTTCTTAAGTCTGCCTCACTGATAATTGTCTTCATGTGAGCGAATGCTTGTTGTGCTGAAACTTCAAGATGATGGTCTGCTTTTTTAGCTCATGATTATCCGTTATATGTGTCTCTGTATACATGTATGAACTGCCATGGCTTTCATATGCCTTAAGTTGCTTTACTTAGATTAGAGATTCTCAGGAAGTTGGGAAATTGAAGTAAACATTATGCGCGACTGTTTCATTTTCTTTATTTAACTGGTCTAAGCCATAATAGGAGTAACTTTTGTCACTGATCAATGTGTTACAAAACCCAGTTTGTTATGTCTTCCTTAATACAAATGGCTCTTTATTGTGCCTAGGGACTGGCGGAGTTGTAGACCATCTTATTTCTCTTACAAGTTCATTCTATCTTGTTTTTCTGGTGCTGAAAGTTAAGCTAGATCATAGTGCAGCTCAAAGGGAATTATCTATGTTTTTCCAGCTGTGCCATGGTTGCATCATGTTCGTCCATAGTTTTATCCATGGTTTTTCTATAGGTACTGCACAGGGGGCATTAGATGTGAGATGGCATCAGCATATATCAAGGGCAAAGGCTCTGGGTTTGAGAACGTGTATCAGGTGGGTCTCTGGAGGAACTAGTTCAGATATGCAAATTTACTTTACATGGTTCTTAGTCCGCATTGGCGCAGCGACTACATGACTTTAGAGAAAAAATATATAATTACCCTGTCATGGTTGGGTCCCTTGGTTAAGGTAGTGATGGGTCTAACTAGGTAGATTTGTTAAAAAAATGAGACTATACAGGGTAAAATCAGATGTTTATATGAAATTATTACAGCTTCAGATGAATTTCAGATGCAAATAAGTTGGCCCAAGGATCCTTATTGCAAGAAAAATAAAATTTAAGCAAAGAATAGTCAAATTGACCTGCAGATGCGAGTCAAATTCTGCTTGATGACTGAAGTAATTTTTCACAATGTGCTCTTCTGCAGTTATATGGTGGGATACAGCGGTATCTGGAACAATTCCCTAATGGTGGATTCTTTAGAGGGAAGAATTTTGTCTTTGATCATCGGTATGTCTCTTGAAGTCTGTAACTGTTTGAGAGATGTATAAAGTCTTGCTTTTACTTACTTTTTCTTTCTTTCTTCTTTTGGAGCTTATTACGCTTGATAAAGGATTCTTGTCTGATATCAAGAATAGGTAATAAGAAACTTTACGAATTAGTCAAAAAGAAAATAGAATTAGTCGCTTTGAACTGGAAGAGGCATACTAACTTTCTAAGTGGTCATGCTCATTGATCGAGTTAGAAAAGAGTATGCTTTTACTATTGGAATGATCTAATGGAATTTTAAGTGTCTCGAATACTTGCTCTAGGCTTATGGCTTATATATTTCAAAAGTCTTCTATGTATATACTTGAAAAGCTGAACTCTTTGCCTCTGCCGCAAATCCATTCCATGCAGAAAATTAGTGGGACCCTTACACATTGAGTCCTAGGTTCTGAATTTGGTTTGTGTTTCTTGGCTCCCAGTGAAATGTGAGGAAAGATAGATAATGACTGTTCAAATTACGGTAGTAATTCTTGCTTTTCATTGGCACTGTAGGATCTCTGTTGGGAGCTCCAACACAAATGTCCTCAGTACATGCCTCCTTTGCAGCTGTCCATTTGATGATTACTCTTCCCGTTGTCGTTGTGCTTCTTGTAGAATGCTTGTTTTGGTCTGTGATAGTTGCCGGGTATGCTCAGTTATCCCCCGAATTTCTGCAACAGTTATTAGCAGTTATCAGTTCCTAATAAAACTCCTACTAATGTTTCTTTTAATTTTCATCCTGAACTATGTGTTAAGTACTTTTCTCTGGTGAACTTGAGATGACATGCAGCGATCTTGCTTCTGTATGAGCCAGCTAAGTAGTTGTACAGCAGGTGGAAGGTTCCATTTACATGTGTGAGCTTTGCCAAATACACGGTAAATGTGGTATTTCAGCTCCAGCAACTGAAAATTGCAAGTCGGAAGTGTTGCCAGAAGAGATAAAACTGAAAATTCCTCTTTCATCTGGGAGACAAGGTAAGAATCTAAGATAGCCCTTATCTACCCAAGGAACCCAATAACAAGTAGTGTCAAATACTATCAAGGACCTTTTTTGCTTGTCTATTTTCGCCATGGCACAACTGTTCGCCTGGTCTTTATCATATAGAATATGCACATTTTCTAGAGTTTGAGGTTGTGTTCAACGTTGTGCTGTTTGCTCTTTTGGGGGATTTGACTTCTGGAGTTCTTCTGAATCTGTGATGAAAATTTTCCATTTGATATTAAAGCAAAGACAACAGGTGCCATTGCTTCTAGAAAGCTCAGGATATTGTGTCTGCATGGCTTCCGTCAGAATGCCTCCAGCTTTAAAGGACGAACTGCTTCCTTAGCAAAGAAACTTAGGAACATTGCCGAGCTTGTCTTTGTGGATGCGCCGCACGAGTTGTGCTTCATTTACCAACCTTCAGTTGTTGATGGGCATTCAAAAGTATCAACAGAACACAGAGGTCCTCCAAAAGAAAAGTGCAACAAGAAGTTTGCATGGTTAGTGCCGCCTGATTTCTCTGCGGGGAGTGAAGCAGATTGGAAAGAAGCAGATGGTCCTTTTGATCCTCTTCAGTACCAGCAGCAGACTGGTGGGTTTGATTCATCATTAGCATACTTGAAGTCCACGTATTTGCGGGATGGTCCATTTGATGGGATCTTGGGGTTTTCCCAGGGAGCGGCAATGGCTGCTTTAGTGTGCGCGCGCAAGGACAAGTTAAAAGGTGAAATGGACTTTAGATTCGCCATTTTGTGCTCCGGGTTCGCTCTCAATCTCGCAGAGTTTGAGCATGGATCTATAAATTGCCCCTCACTTCATATTTTTGGAAGTGATCGTGGGAGAGATAGGCAGATACCTAACACGGCAAGTGCGGGCCTTGCAGAGTATTTTGAAGACGGAAGTCGTGTCATTATTGAACATGACAATGGTCATATAATTCCTACAAGGCCTCCATATATTGATGAGATCAAGGACTTCTTGCAACGCTTTCTCTAAAGGAAGTTCGAGTTGAGACATCCATCATGTGGATCTTGTCGACTTCTCAAATCTCCACCATTCACTGGCTGTGCAGCTTCCTCATTGGCAGCGCCAAAGTAGTACAATTTTCACAAATTATTGCCTGCTCTAAGGGGCCGTTTTGACTTTGTTCTCATGGTGTGTATTTCTTCTCATGTTTCATTATTTTTGTACAACTGAAACTTACGCTCCATTGGTGATTCTACAGAATCTGATGACCTTCCAACTCAAATCATGATAACATGGAAATTGAAAGCTTCAATTTAGATTTTTGTCATTGTTGACATTTGAATTTTCGCCAACAGATCTAATAAGGTTAAAACTCGAGACTCGGGATTCTTGATCGCGTCGGGTTTGGTTTCTTGACGAAAAAGAATCATTTGTATATAGAAATTAGTAAATATGTGCACTAGAAGTCTTAAAACTTGTCACAAAAGTGCAATTGAGTCCTAAAACTTTCAAAAAGTGCAAACAAGTTATAAAACTTGTCACGAAAGTGCATTTGAGTTCTAAAACTTTCAAAAAGTGTAAATAAGTTCTAAAACTTATCACGAAAGTGTAAATAAGTCCTAAAACTTGTCACGAAAGTGCAAATAAGTCTTGAAACTTTCAAAAAGTACAATCAATGGAATGACTTGATTGAATCAATTTGACAAGTTTTAGGACTTGTTTGCACTTTTTTTAAGTTTTAGGACTCAAATGTACTTTCGTGATAAGTTTTAGGACTTGTTTACACTTTTTGAAAGTTTTAGGACTCAATTGCATTTTCGAGACAAGTTTTAGGACTTTGAATGCACTTATCCCTAGAAATTAAGAGCCTTCCATTATATTTGTTGTATTTAGGTACCGTTTTCTTGATAAATCAAATGTTGACTTTTTTGTCAAACCTAAAAAAGTCTATTCTTGGTCTACATTTAATAAAATTTGTGAAAACAATAACTTTGCCTGGTTTTAATTTTTAGTTTTTTTGTAAAAGTGATAAAATTCTGAAAATCCATTAACTTGACTCTTTTTTAGATATTTGATTGGGGACTACGATCATTTAAGATAGCAGCCTCTAGCATAAGCTTAGTCATAGGAATTTTGGTGTCAATACATGATTAGTCTTCTTTAGAGTAGAAATTGCATTCCTAAGGTTGAATTTGATGTGCTTTTAGTTTATTGATCGTTAACTCAAGTTAGATGATGGATGTCTAGGTGTTCTAGTTCAATAATCTTTAGGAATTATATCTAACTCGAGCCAAATCGAACTTGATAAGCGTCGATACCTTGCTGGCAATGAAAACTCCTATTAGATGAAGTGATGAAATAATTTTTTGAAGAATGGCTTCTGGTATGTTTCCCTTGAGAATAACTTTGTCTCAATGTGTTCGCATAGAATCAGTTTTTTTTTTATTAATTGCATGATGAAACCGAAGATGTGCTTACATAGAAGCTAGATTCATCATGATATTGCTTGAGGAATGCAATTTTATAGGGATTGAGGACTGGTTACATGGACCCACTCAGGTGGTTCTCGGTTCCAATTTTTCGAATCGGTTTTTAATGAGCGGTTCCCAATTCTAATTTTTCGAAATTAGTCTTCAATGGGCGGTTCTCACCTTGAAATTGGTAACCGCCCACCCAGATCATACGCACTCCTAATCCCTCACCCCTAATCCCAATAAGTTAATGATGACTCCCATTTAACATAAAATATTCATAGGTTAAAGTTGAACTTAAAATGAATCCAACGTCACGTGAAGTAAGGACTAAGGAGAGCCCATGCCTTATTGAGGGCCATATCAGCCCGCCTTTTGAGCATGATTTCCAAACCCGTCTGTTTTTCCCGACCCCCTGTGTCGGGAACGGTTGCGACAGTCATGCGAGTTGAACGTCAAACAGCCCTCGATTTATGGTTGGCACGTAGAGCATGGGACCAATCCGGTCGTGTCATCTTGGTCAGGTGAGTGGGGTGGGTTGGGACAGGTCCATTTTTCATTACAGACCGCCCAACTACCTCCAATTAAAAGGAACGAACCAGAAGTGTACCTATTCAGTGAAGTCACATCCTCCACGGTAAAAGTTCAGCCATTCATTCCTGCCCGTACACCACGTCCCACCAAAATCCTCCACGCCTTTCGTCTCATACACGTGCATGAAGTCACATCGTTGCCTTTCGTCTTTCTCGTACCGGTTCCTTGCACCAAAACCTGTGCGAAATTCATGGATCCGGTCGACACGATCTCTCTTGCGAAGGTCTTCATTCGGCAACACGAGCATGGTAGGGAGTGTGCATTTGAATCGATCTAGCGCTACCGCCGCTCCCTACCCCCTCTCCAATTGCTGTCGCCGCTCCCTACCCCTCTCCAATTGCTAGCGTTTATGGTTCAAATGCATTAACTTCTAGATCTATCCGAGATGTCTAGGCCAACCCAACTTGCTATTTCACCATGATTTGAGTGGTCACCTCACCATAAATGCGCGTTGAGACTCGCAATGCGCACCAACATGCATCACGTGTGTAATTGTGAACCATAGACAGCTTGTGAAAAAGACCACGGATAAGTGCATTTGATGTGGTAAATCATCAATTGCAAAAGTAAATTACTAGCGCCGTGAAAAAATTACCAACATGGTAGAAAGTATATTTGTTTTATTTATTTTATCTTTGATTAATATCACCGAAAACTCTAAACTGATACATTTGTGATAAATTTACCCCTAACTAATTTTTCGATCACAAAAAATTTCAAACTAATTTTGTGACCACAAAAAACCTCTAGTACATTTGCAACAAATTTTCCTTCTATTAAATTAAATTAATACCACGAAAAATCATAAATCGGTAAACATGTAAATTGGAACACCCGTCAACTATCATGTATTATTCAACTTAATAATTTGACGGTAAAATTTAACAAAAATTAATATAGGATAAATTTGTCACATGTATACTAGTTTGGGATTTTTTGTGATCAAAAAATTAGTTTGAAATAGATTTTATCACAAGTATATCAATTTGGCGGTATTAATCCTTTTATCTTCGATCCTCTTTTAAGAACTAGCATCAATCCGGCTTTCTAATTCGGATTATGATGAGGCCTATTTCAACCTCCTCAATTCAATTTATTCCACGGCGTTTCTTAGGCACAAACGATCATATCTTTAGAAATATTTTTTTAAAATTATTTAAATTTTCGCGGAAAAGATATGAATTGAAACAATTTTTAGTCGGTGCAATCTGTGAGGAAGGCCATAGCCGCCATACCATGCGCGCGACACGCCAGCACCCCAATAAATTGAGATTGGTTACCACTCCCCCAACCACACGCCACGTGGGCGCCCCTCATTGGCAACCCCCATCAACCCCAGTCCTTTCGCCTTAATTTCGCCAATTAATGTTCAACTGCGCGCACATTAGCAGCCCCCCTGCTCCGTCTCAGGATCGTCCCCCCAAGAAAAAGCCCCCTCCTCTTCCCGAAATATTACCAAAATGCCACCCCTCTCCGAGAAAGCAAGATTCTTCGTGTTTGGAGAGATAATGACATTAATGGTCCTGAAATTTGATCCAATATGCAATATGATCCTTGAATATTTAAACATTTTCATATAGTTCTGAAACTACATTGAACATAAATAAAAAGTTTAAAGACTATATTGAACATGTAACAAAATTTCAGGGACTAGATTGCATATTGGGCTAAAATTCATGGATCACATTGAACAAATTAAAATTTCAAAGGCCACATTATACACATTCGACAAAAGTTGTGGAACCGTTTGTGTTGTTTTGTCGCCGGTTAAAGACACGACCGTGATGATATTTTAGCAAATTGGGTGGGCTAAAAATGGCATCTTTGGGGATAATTCGACCCGGGTATTGATGGCAAAGATGTATGCCCTCCGCTATAAAGGAACGGCCTTTATGCATCCAGCTGTAGCTCATATCGTTTTCGCTTGCCTTCCCATAATTCTTTCTGTGCAGAGGAAGAGAGAGAGAGAGAGAGAGAGAGAGTGAGGAGAGGAGGAAGACAAGGAGGAGGAGGAGAGAGAGAAGCAGAAGATGGCTCTGATCACCGAGGAGATCAAAGCCCAAGCCGAGTTCTACACTGGGGATGAGATGTGCCAGGTGAAATCCAAGTGTTTGCTCACGGACATCGGGCTGCCCAACGGGCTGCTCCCGCTGAAGGACATGGAGGAATGTGGGTACGTGAGGGAGACCGGGTTCGTGTGGCTCAAGCAGAAGAAGAAGACCGACCACAAGTTCGAGAAGATTGGGAGGCAGGCCTCCTACGCGCCCGAGATCACGGCCCAGGTGGAGCAGGGCAAGATCAAGAAGCTGACGGGTGTGAAGACCAAGGAGCTCCTGGTGTGGGTGTCCCTGAGCGAAATCTACTTAAATGACCCGCCCAACGGGAAGATCACCTTCAAGTCCCCTACTGGGCTGTTCAGGTCCTTCCCTGTCTCTGCCTTTGAGATTGAGGAGGAGGTCAAGGATGTGAGTAAGAACAAGGACGTGAAGGAAGCTGGTGCATCTGTGGAGGTTAAGGAGGCTTAGGAATTTCCTTTGAGAGAGGAGAGGACCGAAAAAACAGCTCTTGAAGTATTCATCTTTTATCAGTTTTCATCTTTGGGTTTTTACCAGTCTTAGTAAATGCTTTTGTTGCTAAGCGTGTCTGCTGCTGTGGGACACTAATGATGGAAGAGGGCATGCAAACCTGGAATAATTTTTAGTACTTGCTGATTCTCATTGAATATTGTCTTTGCTTCAGTATGTCTTTGCACTTTGGTCTATTAGAACGCACTTGAAGACGAAGTGATTAGCCCACTTTGCGTAAATCCATGGTTTCTGGCAACTCATGTTGCAGACCAAACTGTAGGAATTACACTGTTAAAAGTCCTTGCTGGAAACAAATGCTGCCTAAATCAGGAATAGAGCTGGGGAAGAGGATACTTAAATTACTATGGATCTATGCACTGAAATCTTTGCAAGTTCTTATATTCTTTTCAGTGTCTTTTTATTATCTTTTTTTGTTTAAGCAAGGATACTTCTGAGCAAAACCCAACATAGCATCCGGTTCAGACTAGAGAGAGTTGGGAACAGGCACTGGAGCCATATATCAGCAAAGCTTATATGCTTTTCCAGATTCAATATCTAAAATAAAGGTGGGTATGATGTTTTGGACAAATGATCTGCATTTCTCCATTAAGAGATGTAAAGAAAAGAGAAATCTCATGAGCTAATTGACCCTAGTCTCATGGTGGGATTGCACATGAGTTCCATCGCTCACAAAATTGCCGAGCAAAACACTAGCATTTCTCCTGGGTTTTAGTTAGGGGTGAGCAACTTGGACCGCCCAAACTGGGACCGGATCGGACCGGACCGGACCGACGGGTTTGGTCCGGTTCTCGGGACTATCGGTCCGGTTCCCGGTTGCTAAAAGCGGAACCGGTTTCCGGGCGATCCGGTTCCCGGTTCCAAGGGGGAGCCGGACCGGACCGGATCGATTATTTAATATATATTTTTGTTATTTTTTTCTTTAAAAAAATTAATAAACGTGAATTAAACTCTAAGTGAATTTCATTATCATAAATTCATTGATAAAAATTAGTAAAATGTGAATTAAACCCTAAGTGAACTTCATTGATAGAAATTCATTGACAAAAATTAATAAAATGTAAATCAAACCTTAAGTATTTAATCAAAAAAAAAATTAAACTCTAAGTGATCGGTTTCATTGGATCGGAATCGGACCGGACCGGCGGTCCGGTCCGATTCCCGGTCCTAGATCTAATCGGTCCAGTCCGCAATTCCCAAAATTGAGAATCGATTCTCTCGGTCCGATTTCCGATTTCCCCTTGAAATCGGACCGGGACTCGAAACCGGAAACTGGACCAGGAATCAGTCCTCCTTAATTTTAGTCTTTGTCCAGGTCAATCTGACAGCATCTCAAAAAGCTGTATCTAGGGTTGAAAAATGGCAATTTTCTGTTGGACAGCTTTTAACGCGAATGGCAGTAGGCAGATGCTTGCTTAGTCCCGCAAGCAACAGATAGGCCATCTGTAAGGGCATTTCTCTTTCTCCACCAGATTAAGCCATGACCTGTAATTATAAATATATCATGACAAGCACAGGTGATTTTGTTTCGCTTCAGGCGCATAATAACCTCCTATAGCTGAGGGCGATAACTGATAGTTTAGTTATGGAAATTCTGATTGCCAAATGCTTCTCCTATTGTTAGATTAGCACGGGGAGGCAAATGGTAGATGTGTCCACTTTTTTGCTAATTTTGCTTTGTTTAGACCATAGAGCGAGTGCTCAGCTTGGCCCTACGCCATTAGCACAACTATCAGTCTATTACCCCTTACATCGGGTGATCAAGTTGGAACATTTGTATAGTGCACAACGAAGAGTTCCGTCGCAAGTTGCTGTTGAAATGGTGTTGCAACGGTAAAAGATGTTGCAGCAGACTACGCCGAGATTGAGGACGCGCGACTTCCACACTAGTAATTTGATAAGACATGAACTCCATAATCTCCTGCGAAGTGACTTAAAAGAGTTCCGGCTCTGATGGTCATTCACTCAAAATCACTACCGGGGCAAACAAGTATGCACAACTCTTCCGGGGCATTTCCTCTGGATGAACTACTCAAATTCACTCATCAGCGAGTGCCAACCAGACTGGAATATCATGCACTGGACGAGAACTTTACGGCTTTGGGCAGGTGCGACATCAGCGACGAGATTGTGTGGAGTTTTCGAGCGTCGAATTCAAACTTCCAATGTTTTCGCCCTTTGTTCATCCCGATTGCATGTCCTTAACACGCAAAACAGGTGATCCATGCTTGAAGGAGGGAAAATGCTCATGTGACATGTGAAAGGTTCGGTCATAGCAACTCCACCATAGCAACATCCGTCATAGTTTTAGTGTGAGGCGCTCTTTTCTTTTCTGTTTTCCTCTTAGAGGAAGCTGGAGGGGAAAATCAGAAGGCCATTGAGGATCTACAGATATGCTGCAACTTGCCATTAAAATATTTCATGCAGTTCAAACGTCACTGAATTCTTTTGCTCCGGAACAACATGTTAAGTATGCCCTTTCGTTGGAGCTTAGTAAGAATGCACTTCTCCCATTCTTAACGTATAGTTTGAGATTCTATGCATAATTCAGAAGTCTCTTTGATAACTTGCTGGCAAGACTAAAAAAACTTGACAATCGAGCTCCCACCTTTTAGGAATGGTTTACAAAATCCGGATCACTCCCTAATCCTATGAATTCAGCTTGACATGATGACTGGTTCGATTGAGCTGAAAATCGTAAAATGCAGACGAAACAATAATGCATTTGTTTCGCCAAAAAATTAACGATTTGGAAATTATTTTTGAACAATAATTATCCTTAATATTCGTGAAACAAAAGCATACTAAACTTCAAAATTGAGCAGCATTTATACATGGTTTTGCAAAGATTTTAACTTTATTCATTATTTGTACTCTTGCTGTTGAAATTTGAATTGACTATTCTATTTAGTATTGAACAACTCAAATCAAACATGTTTGACCTCCAAGCACCAGAAAACATCAGAGCACATGTGTCTAAATTGACTGAGTTCCAGCAAGACGAGAGATATTTTCACTATTCAAATTGAGTTTGAGCAATTTTTCAGTCCCCACTGAGGTTCCCGACCAACGACCAGGAACCTGTCCGAGCTTTCACTGGATGATCGCGCGACGCTACGATGACACGGACTAAGCGGTCCATCAGCAAGCACTTCGTCGTCATCCCATGAATTTCGCCAAAGTTCGCAACTTTTCTGCGCTCGTCAAGCCAAGTTTGCACCGCCGCCCATCTTTTGCTCCCACCATCACTCTCTCAATCCTAGAGACCCACTTGGGACGATGCCGCAACCTCAAGCAGTTCAACCAAATCCTATCTCAGATGATCCTCACCGGGTACATCAGAGACGCTTACGCAGCGAGTAGGCTCCTCAAGTTCTCCACTGACTCTCACTTCGTCCACGTTAGTTACTCCTTTCGTGTCTTTAGTTATGTTGAGAACCCAAATGGGTTTTCGTGGAACACGATGATGAGGGCTTTTGTGCAGAATGATAGCCCTCAAAATGCTGTTTTGCTGTACAAGTTGATGTTGAATCACAATGTGGCTCCCGATAACTTCACGTATCCCATTTTAGTTCAGGCTTGCAGTTTGCGGTTCTCAGAATTTGAGGGGAAACAAGTGCATGATCATGTTCTGAAACTGGGTTTTGATTCGGATATTTATGTCCTGAACACGTCGATCAACTTGTACTCGGTTCATGGGAATATGGAAGATGCACGGAAGCTGTTTGATAAAAGTATCGTTCTGGACACCGTCTCTTGGAACTCAATTCTGGCGGGTTATGTTCAGGTGGGGAATGTTGACGAAGCAAAACTGATTTTTGATCAGATGCCTAAAAGAAATGTGATTGCTTCAAATTCGATGATTGTTTTATTTGGAAAGACAGGACGTGTGGTGGATGCGTATGAGCTATTTAGTCAAATGGAGGAAAAGGATATGGTGTCATGGAGTGCATTAATTTCTTGTTATGAACAGAATGGGATGTATGACAAGGCTTTGGTTATGTTTAAGGAAATGGCTGGTAAAGGTGTCAGAGTGGACGAGGTTGTCGTGATTAGCATTCTTTCAGCGTGTGCACATTTGTTTGCTGGCGAGATGGGGAAGTTGATCCATGGGTTGGTGGTGAAACTTGGGATTGAATCTTATGTTAACCTTCAAAATGCATTGATTCACATTTATTCAATATGTGATGAGATACTGATTGCAGAAAGAATGTTCAGAGCTGGATACCCTCATCTGGATTTAATTTCCTGGAACTCCATGATATCGGGGTATTTGAGAAATGGATTGATCGAAAATGCGAAGGCATTATTTGATTCAATGCCAGAGAAGGACATAGTATCTTGGAGTGCAATGATATCCGGATATGCTCAACATGACCATTTCTCAGATACTTTGGAGCTGTTTCAACAGATGCAGCTCACAGGAATACAGCCCGACGAAACCATTTTGGTGAGTGTCATCTCAGCTTGTACTCACTTGGCTGCCCTTGATCAAGGAAAATGGGTTCATGCGTACATTAGGAAGAATTGCCTCAAGGTTAATGTTATTTTGGGTACGACCCTGATCGACATGTACATGAAGTGTGGTTGTGTTGAAAATGCATTGGATGTTTTCCAGTTAATGGAGGACAAAGGTGTCTCCACATGGAACGCTGTGATTCTTGGGTTGGCGATGAACGGCTTGGTGGGGAAGTCACTAAACATCTTTCTAGAGATGAAGAATTGTGGAGTAGCACCCAATGACATAACCTTTATTGGAGTTCTTGGAGCATGTAGACATATGGGCTTAGTAGACGAGGGATGCTTTCACTTTGATTCCATGGTACAAAATTATAAGATAGAACCCAATGTCAAGCATTACGGGTGCATGGTGGACCTTCTGGGACGTGCTGGTAAGCTTAAAGAAGCAGAGGAGCTTATTGAGAGCATGCCTATGGCACCAGATGTTTCTACTTGGGGGGCCCTTCTCGGAGCTTGTAGAAAGCACAGTGACATTGAAAGGGGGGAGAGGATAGGAAGAAAGCTTGTTGAGCTTCAGCCAGACCATGATGGTTTCCATGTGTTATTGTCAAACCTGTATGCTTCCAAAGGGCATTGGCAGAATGTGCTTGAGATTAGAGGAATTATGGAGCAGCAT